CGCACGCGCGGACCGCATTGACGTCGAAAACGCAAAACTCGCTACGCAAGGGTATGGTTTGCTAGGGGTCGGTTTGGCCGCCCCTGACAAGAGCGCGCGCGCACGCGTTTGTTGAAAATCCGTCTTGCGAAACCTTTTGTTTTGCAAGTTTTTTGGGCACGCGATTTCGAAATGTTTCCGAAACCAATGGGTTTTGAAGGTTTTCGGCATACGCGCGCGACGACGCGCGCGTCTGCACTTCGTCCCGTTTTTTGCAAAGGGTTCTCGCGACGGCACACGCGCAAGGGCGTTCGACAGATTTCGACTTGCGCGCGCGCGAAGCCTGTTTGATAGCTTTTTGTCAAAAATCTTGAAACACCGATGGTTTCCTTAAGATTTCGCAAGAGTTAGCGCGTAAGTTTTTTGAGCAAATCCGTGTTGCGAAACCCTGTGTTTTTGTATGTGTTTTGGAAACTCGATTGCGAAATTCCTTCCGGCACTGAAGGTTTTTGAAGGATTTCGGCATGCGCGCGCGACGACGCGCGCGTGCACTTCGTCCCATTTGTTGCAAGGGATTCGCGACAAAGTACTATGTCAGAACAAAAAAAGTCACCGCATAGTGTTTTATGTTTTTTATGTTTTTTCTTTTCAAAAAAAAGGAACCTCAGGGGGTCAGGGGGGGGATACCGGTTGGCCTGGGACATTGCGACTTCATATTTCGGATAGACATGTGGTCAGAATCATATGTGATTTACATACCCGAAGGGGGGCGATAACTCCGGGGGGGGGGTAGAGTCTACTCTCTTTTTAGAAAGGAAAATTCACTTGCCGAACTTGAAGTGGTCAACTCCACAGCTCGCGCAATCATCCCACCCACCCACCCGCAACTTGGTTTGCAAAACCCATGCGGGAACGATTGCGATGAGTGCTGGGTGTTGGCTGGTACATCTTTGCGGCCGCGCGAGCCCGCAACGACTGCGACGACACCGACGACGTCTCCAACGACTTCGATGACGCCGACGACGACGACGACACAGACGACGACGACGCCGACGCCGACGCCGACGACGACGACGACGACGATGACAACGTCGACGCTGATGACGACGCCGACGACGACGACAACGACGACACCGACGACGACGACGACGACGTCAACGACGGCGACGACGACGACGACGACGGCGGCGACGACGACGACGCCGACGTCGACGACAACGAAGACGACGACGACGCCGACGCCGACGCCGACGACGACGACAACGACGACACCGACGACGACGACGACGTCAACGACGGCGACGACGACGACGACGGCGGCGACGACGACGACGCCGACGTCGACGACAACGAAGACGACGACGCCGACGCCGACGACGACGACGAAGACGACGACGACGTCGCCAACGAAGATGCCGACGAGGGAGGAGGGAGGACGACGACGGCGACAACGACGACAACGACGAGGGAGGGGGGAGGACGACGACGACGCGAACGAAGACGACGACAACGACGAGTGAGGAGGGAGGACGACTACGGCGACAACGACGACAACGAGGGAGGAGGGAGGACGGCGACGACGCGAACGACGAAAAAGGAGGAAGGACGGCGACGCCGACGACGACAACGACGAGGGAGGAGGGAAGACGACGACGAGACGACGACGACGACGACGGCGACGAAATAGGAGGGACGACGACGAGACGCCGACGACGCACGACGACGACGACGAGGGAGGAGGAGGAAGGACGACCACGGCGACAACGACGACGGAAACGACCACGACGCCAAAGAGGACGACGACGACGAACACGAGGAAAGACACAGGACGACGTAGGCGACGACGACGACGACGCGGGAGGAGGGGGAACGGCGACGACGACGACGACGACGACGCAAGAGTGTGCGGGCACGCTTTTGTTGAAGACCCGTGTTGCGAAACCTTGTTTTTTTTGGTGTGTGTGTGTGTGTGTCTGTGTGTTTGTGTGTGTTTTGGACACACGATTTTGAAATCGTTCCGGAACCGATGGGTGTTGAAAGATTTAGGAAGACGCGCGCGACGACGCGCGCGTCTGCATTTCAATCCATTTTCTGGAGAGGATTCTCGCGACGGCACACGCGCAAGGGCGTTCAACAGATGTCGACATGCGCGCGCGAAGCCCGTTTGGTATCATTTTGTGAAAATATTGGCAAACCTATGGTTTTCTCAAGGTTTCGCAAGAGCTCGCGCGTAAGCTTTTTGAGCCAATCAATGTTGCGAAGCCCTGTGTTTTTGTATGTTTTTTTGGAAGCTCGAATGCGAAATCCTTCCGGCACCGAAAGTTTTGAAGGATTCCGGCATGCGCGCGCGACGACGCGCGCGTGTGCACTTCGTCCCATTTGTTGCAAGGGATCCGTGACAAAGTCTTATGCTAGAACAAAAAAGTCCCCGCGTATCGTGATTCACAAGGGAACCTCAGGGGGGGAAACCGGTTGGCCTGGGACATTGTGATTTCATATGTAGGGTGGACATGTGGTCAGAATCGTATGTGATTTACATAGGACGCGGGGGGAGTGATAACGCCAGGGGGGGGTATTTAGAAAAGAGAATCCATGTAGTGCAAGACATGCGGTGAAGCCTACGCGGTGCCATTCACCAATGCTCAACTTGAAATTGTCCACTCCACTGCCCGCGCAAACATCCCACCCACACACCCGCAACTTGGTTTGCAAACCCCATGCGGAAGCGATTGCGATGAGTGCTCGGTGTTGGCTGGTGACATTCTGCGGCCGCGCTAACCTGCGCATGCTCGCGCGCGCAGCGGCCAACTAGTTTGGCGCGGCCGGCGCGAGCGCGGTGGCGTTGACCGCTCGGCACATCCCAACGGGCACTTCAGTGCGAGTCGGCGGCTTGGGCGGCCGCGGTGTCATGGCAACGTCGACAACGGTAGACACGATGATGATAGTAGCGATGCTGGCGACGATGCTGAAAGCGACGACGGGGCAGCCAGTGACGGCGCTGGTGCTGATCACGCCGCCGACGATGACGGCGTCTTCGTCTTGGTGATGAAGGTTTTGGAAGGATTTCGGAATGCGCGCGCGGAAGACGCGCGAGAGTAGCTCGCATGCTAATATTTGACACGGATCGTGCCACCCCAGCACTCGCGCAAGGGTGTTCGAACGATTTCGACATACGCGCGCAAAGCCCGCTTGGTAGCATGTTATGAACATGTTGAAAACTCATGGTTTTCATAAGAATCCGCAAGAACGCGCGCACGCTATTGTTGAAAATCCGTGTTGCGAGCCCCTGTTTTTTTGTGTTGTTTGACACTCGATTTTGAAATCCTTCCGGAACCGAAAGTGTGTGAAGGATTTCGGCATGCGTGCGCGACGACTCGCGCGTGCGCACTTCGTCCCTATATTTGAAAAAATCTCGCAACGGCACGCGCGCAGGGGCGTTCGCACGATTTCGACATGCGCGCGCGAAGCTCGTTTGGCACCATGTTTGGAAACTTTTGATTTTTGGTAAACGGGCGTGCGCGCATACATTTTTTGTGCCAAGGATGGCGGGGGGGGGTCGATACCGGCTGGCCTGGGATGGTGTGAACACATGGGGAACATGAACGAATGGTCACGATCATATTTGAATTTCCCATCGAAGCGCGTGGCGGATAACCCGGGGGGGTGATGGGTAGAATCAAACTTCTTCAAAGAGAGGAGAAAGTATGAGATGCGGCGACAGGGCGGCGACGGCGACAACATAGCCGACAGACCGACAATCAGGCCCAGACGACGGGCGGCGCAGAGGCGGCGACAGGGCGGCGACGGCGACAACATAGCCTTCAGACCGAATGTCAGGCCCAGATGACGGGCGGCGGCGATGCGGCGACGGGGCGGCGACGGCGACAACATACCCACCAGACCGACGGCCAAGCCGAATGACGGGCGGCGGCGATGCGGCGACGGGGCGGCGACGGCAAGATCATAGCCGTCAAACCGACGGTCAGGCCCAGTTCCTTGGACCATGTGTTCGTCATAATGTTTTGGGGGAAGCACGGGTCGGGAAACTGAGACTGCTGCTACTAAACCTACCACCAATACAACCACGACGACCACTACTACCAAAACAAGGACGTACCCCTACGTACTCATTGTAGCACCAAGTCTACGATTACTACCAGCTACGTATTCTTTGTAGCATCAATACTACGATTACTACAAGTAGTGATGGCTGTAGCCCTTGCACCCTGACGGGCGAGGCACAACTGCCAATACTGCGCACAGCATGCACATCAGGTGTGTCACAGCCAGCTTGCTGTTAAGGGTCCGCGCTGGCAAGCATGTGTACATGTGTATACGCATGTGTGTGCGATCATGCGGTGAGGCATGCGCACACTTACGATGCGCATGGGTACAAGAGCGGGAATGCTTACTGACGCAATCGTGTATGTACATAGGCATACGCACACTTAAAATGCGCACTGGTACACGAGCAGAAATGCTTCAGGACGCAAGCGTGTATGTATAAACTGTCGCAGGCGCTGGTATATGTATGTATAGACACATACACCTCACTATGTGTGTGTGTGTGCGTGCGCTTGCCCATGATGACGTGAGCGCTTTCATGTATATGCGCGTGCACGTGTAGGTCATGCACGCACGTAGTGCTCCAGAGAATGTGTGCATGTATGTTGAGATGCCCGTACGTACTCGTCTGCAAGCGTGGTGCAAGCGTGTGGCTTGAGGCACGTGATTGAGCTTGTGTGGCGTTAGGCACACACACTCGTGCGTGCGCACGTACAACGTACATGACCATGTTGTTGTACTCAATTGCAGATTTGCTCTGGCTGTGCAACGAGTGGTGGACCAATGACCAAAGCACATGTAAGACACCATGAGAACAAGGGCAGAGGGTGCAAACCCTCCCGCGTTCGACGAACCGGTGGGAGGCCTCGCGGCGATCCGTGAAAAAGTTTGAGCGGTAGACCCAGATGCGAAGGCCCAACTCGATCAAGAATATGACAGTACAGACCTCGGCATCCGGTCGATCCACGCCGCGGTCACGACCCGCTGATCGGCGGCACGCTTAGAGGAAAGACAGAAAAGGCGGGCCTTCTCAGTCGGGAATCCACTGACATGGGTCAGTCCAGACCCGGGTCAGTCGGGCTTTGCAGGATACAGCAAAGTCCCGCAGGATCCTGCAAGATCCTGCACGCAAGCCCGGGTCAAAGCACCCCTGGCTCTGCAGGGTCCTGCAAGGTCCGGCGCCCTGACTGACCCCCGTTTGCATTGACCCCCGTCTCTTGAGCCCCGACTCAGAAGGCTCAGAAGACCTCCGGCCTTCTGAGAGATTTATCAGCCTTCGCTGAAGAAACAGACGGCCCTGCCAGGTCCACCTTCCGACGACTCCAGGACGCCTTCTAAGTTGGCATAAAAAGGACTCCCACTCGCCGGAGAGGGCTTATAGAGACATCTAAGATGGCCCAAGAGGCCCCGGAGACGCCCCAAGGGGAGCTCCAATACGGCCTGAGACAAACAAACATCATTGCTCTGTCATGTGTTTGCATGTTGGCGTCATCATAATTTTCGGCAGTCTCAAAACCCTCCACAGGACCAGGATAGCAGAAAAAGCCCCGGAAGAGGCCCAACGATGACCCAAGGGGCCCCCAAGACGGCCAAAAAGACCTTCAAGAGGGATCCTAAAGAGGGGCAAGAGAGGCCCAAGAGGAAGAGCTCGTATTGGCCCTGGGAGCCCTCCCCAACAGGATGGCCCACGAGACGCCCCCCCCCCCCCCAAAAAAAACAACAAAAGGGCCCCCAAGAAGCTCCCAGAGAGCTAGAAAAAACAGCCAGATCCCTGAAAAGGTTCCCAAGAAGCTACCCCAGAGGCCTCCAAAAGGCCTCGCAACAGACGCATGCAGAGGAAGATGAGGACATATCAGCAACAAGTACATTCAGGCAGCACGACGAGAAGCAGCAAACAACATATACGACATCGGAGGCCGCACATCTTGATTTCCGGAGGTCGGCGGAATGGCGCTATCCTCGTGAGACACTCGAATTAAAACAACCTTCCTCCCATTCCCATCCTCAAAACGCTCGTGAAATTCTCCTCCTCCTCCTCCTCCTCCTCATCATCATCATCATCATAATCAGCAGCATCATCATAATCATCATCATCAGCATCAGCATCAGCAGCATCAGCAGAATCATCATAATCATCATCATAATCAGCATCAGCATCAGCATCATCAGCATCCTTAGCATCATCATCAGCATCATCGTTATCATCATCAGCAGCATCATAATCGTCTTCATAATCGTTACCATCATGAATCATCATTATCATCAGCAGCATCACCATCAACAGCAGGAGCAGAATCAACAACATCATCAGTAGCATCATCATCCTCACCACCATGAAGCATCATCACCGTCATCAGCATCATCAGAATCATCATCATCAGCATAGTCATCAGCATGAATCATCATCATCACCATCATTGTCATCAGCATCAGACTCCTCAGTATCATAAATCATCAGCAGCATCATCAGCATCATCGACAGCATGATCAGCATCATCTGCATCATCATCAGCAGCATCGTCGTCATCGTCATCATCAGAATCGTTGTCATCAATATCGTCGTCGTCATCGTCGTCGTCATCATCGTCAACGGCATCGTCATCGACATCGTCATCGAACTCGACATCATCATCATCATCAGCATCATCACCATTATCAGCATCGTCGTAATCATCATCAACATCATCAGCATCATCATCATCATCACCCTCACCCTCCTCCTCATCCCTGTCCTCATCATCACCAGCATCATCATCAGCAGCAGCATCATCATCGTCATCGTCGTCGTCGGCAACAGCATCAGCATCAGCATCCGTAGCATCATCATCATCATCATCATCATCAGCATCATCACCATCATCATCATCATCATCATCATCATCATCATCATCATCATCATCATCATCATCATCATCATCATCATCGACCCCCTCCTCATCTTCTTCACCATCCTCCACTCGTCCTCGTATCCCTTGTCTCCCCCCTCCTGTTGATTTCCTCCTCCTGTTGGCGGCGCGCACACGGGGGTAGGGGGAGAGGGGAAGGCTTCTTAGAAGGAGGACGGTTCTTAGAGGGCGCCAGACTCACATCTACAGACAAGGCCCCCGCCTTCTCAGAAGCAGGGGTGCTTCTCGGAAGCCTTCCCCCCCGCCCCCAGGTGCTTCTAAGAACCTGGGGGGCTGCGAAATTCGAAACTGTCGCCACTCTCAAGGGTTGCTGGGAGCTCCCGAGGTGTGCTAAGCAACGGCCAGGTGCCAGGGTGACAGGGTAACGCTTCAGGGTGCTGGGTGCGTTATCGTTCCGCCGGAAGGGGGAGGGGGGAGGGGCTCTTGATGGCGTCATGAGGTTACCCCCCTCTGCGCGTGGCTGATCCTGCTCCCCTGCTCCACGCTGTCCTCCTCCGCTGGGGGCGCGCTCGGGCGCCCGCGTACTCCGCGTGCTCGAAGAAGTCGGTCTGGCGGGAGCGGGCCGCGCTCCCCCCACGCCCGTGCCAGCCGGCTGGACACCTCCCATCCTCACACTGCTGCTCCTCATCAGCATGATCACGACGAAAAGATCTGTCCTCACACTTATGTTACGCTACCCTCATCCTCTCCATCACCACCTGGATCATCCACGGCATCATCGCGTCCTCATCATCATCCTATACTGTTCCTGCGTCTCCCCTCCTCTTCTCCTGCTCCTCGTTCCCGTCCCCCCTCTTCATCCCCTTCATCTTCCCCCTCTTCCCCCTCCTCCTGCCCCTCCTCTTCTCCTGCTCCTCGTTCCCGTCCGCCCTCTTCATCCCCTTCATCTTCCCCCTCTTCCCCCTCCTCCCCCTCCTCCTCCTCCTCCACCTCCTCCTCCTCGTCGTCGTGCTCCTCCTCCCCGGTTTCATCCTGCTTTTCATCCTCTTCTCCTTTGCCTCCCCCTCTCCCTCCCACCCCCACCTCCCCACTATCTTCTCTCCTCTCCTCCTCCTCCTCCTCCTCCTCCTCCTCCTCCTCCTCCTCCTCCTCCTCCTCCTCCTCCTCCTCTCCTCCTGCCCCTCCTCCTCCTCCTCCCTCCTTCCCCTCCTCCTCCTCCTTCCCCTCCTCCTGCTCTTCCTCCTACACCTCCTCCTCTCCTCCGCCTCCACCTTCTCCTCCTCCTCCTCCTACTCCTCCTCATACTCCCCTTCCTCCTCCTCCTCCTCCTCATCACCATCATCACCATCATCCTCCTCCTCATCCTCCTCCTCCTTCCCCTCCTCCTCTTCCGTCTCCTCCTCGTCGCCATCATCACTATCAGTATCGGCACGATCGGCATAGGCATCATCATCATCAGCATCATCATCAGCAGCATCAGCATCAGCATCATCAGCAGCATCATGATCAGCATCAGCATTATCATCATACTCGTCAGCATCATCATCATCGGCATCATCATCATCAGCACCACCACCATCATCATCATCATCATCATCAGCATCATCATCATCATCAGCATCATCATTGTCATCGTCATCATCACCATCATTACATCATCATCTGCATCAGCATCAGCAGCACAATCAGCATAAACAACGGCATAAACATCATCAACATCACCATCATCATAATCATCAGCATCAGTAGCATCGGCATTACCGTCTTCTCAGCATCATCATCCGCATCAGCAACAGCATCATCAACTTCATCAGCAGTAGCATCATCATCAGCATCAGCGTCAGCATCATCAGCATCATCATCAGCAGCATAGTCAGCATCATCAGCAGCAGCAGTAGCATCAGCATCATCATCCACAGCATCAGCATCATCAGCATCGTCATCATCATCACCATCATCATCAGCAGCATCATCATCATCAGCAGCATCAGCATGATCATCACGATCATCATCATCATCATCAGCAGCAGTTTCTGCATCAGCAGCATCAGCATCGTCATAATCAGCATAAACAGCATCAGCGTCAGCATCATCAGCATCATCATCATCAGCAGCAGCAACATCCTCATTATCATCAGCCAGCATAATCAGCCTCAGCAGCATCAACATCAGCATCATCATCATACCGATCATCACATCATCATAATCATCATCACCACCACCATCACCATCACCCTCATTGCATTCTCAAATAACTCACCCTCAGGATGAGCTCTTTTTGTTTGACGGTCTGCTTCATAAAAGCGAAACTCTGGAGACCAGGTCAAAATTGAATGGTTGAGGGCGACAACCAACGGGCTCTGGATAAAGAAAGTCACGGGCGGCTGCAGGGAGGGGAGGAAATACGCAGCTCAGCCCCAAACCAGGGTGGTGCAGGAAAACACCCTGCACACAGAACCCTGGGCGGGAGGGCGCGCGGCAAATCCGAAGAATCCCCTTCGTCCTCCACCATGCGTTGAACAAGCAGCCTCTCATCGTTTTCGCCGCGCAGCGCTTCCACAACGCGCCTCAGGGACCATGAGGGCCTCTCGGTCGCAGCATAGCATGGGCCGTCTGTCCCAGCGAGTAGGTGCTCGGTATCGACGAGTTGCGCGTGCTCGGCTTTTCCTTCCTGTCTTGGCCTTTCTTTTTCCCCGAACGGCGCGCTCGAAGACGATTTGGTGGTGCCTCCTCCTCCTCCTCCTCCTCCTCCTCCTCCTCCACCTACCCCACCTCCTCCCTCCTCCTCCCACCTCCTCCTCCTCCTCCTCCTCCTCCTCCTCCTCCTCCTCCTCCTCCTCCTCCTCCTCCTCCTCCTCCTCCTCCTCCTCCTCCTCCTCCACCTCCTCCTCCTCCCCTCCTCCTCACTCCTCTCCTCCTCCTCCTCCTCCTCCTCCTCCTCCCTCCTCCTCCTCCTCCTCCTCCTCCTCCCTCCCGCTCCCCTCCTCCTCCTCCTCCTCCTCCTCCTCCTCCTCCTCCTCCTCCTCCTCCTCCTCCTCCTCCTCCTCCTCCTCCTCCTCCTCCTCCTCTCATCCTCCTCCTCCTCCTCCTACCTCCTCCTCCCTCCTCTTCCTCCGCCTAACAAGACTGGATACCTCCGCACCCAGGGGCCCCAAAGGGGGTGGAAGCCCGTGGCGCGCCCAAACCGTCGAGCTCTACCGGATTCGGCTCCAGGAGCGAGACTTCTGCTGGGGCGGCAGGCCTTTGCGCAGTCGCTGCAAGGCCTGACAATTCTCAGGGGGAACCTTGTGGGGGCCTTCATCGGGAGACTCTCCATGGGGGGGGATCCCATAGGGGGGGCAGGAGGGGATCCCCCCCATGGGATCCCCTCCTGCCCCCCCCATGGGATCCCCAGGGGATCCTATGGGATCCCCCCCCCTGGGATCCTATCCCCCCATGGGATCCCCCCCCCATGAAGAGTCTCCCGACTTCAGGGGCTGCAACACAACCAGCTAAGAGGTCGACCGGTTCTGTGAGGCCCACGCACCGCACAGGCCACAACAAAAACATACTTCAACCACAACATATGAGAAGCAGCGAGGTGCTGCCCTGCAGTGAAGCCAGGGTGGTCTATTAGCACAAGCGGTTCCTCCATGCCCACCTTCACCCAGGGGGAACCATCAATGGGCCCCGCGAGATCCACAAAGGGGCGGCCACCAAGCGACAGGACGGGTTCCTCGGGAGCCGAGGCGGGGCAATCGTGGAGCGGCCCCAACAATCCTTGGGCTTCTCTCTGGCATGGAGCCCACGCTCTACGAATTGCCAAGAGCCTGGCTCAGAAAGGCAAAACGCAGGCTGAGAACTCTCCGAAAAGGCAATCGTTCTCTGTCTGACTACCATGAGACGCAGAACCTTGACCTTGGGAACAACTCTGAATACATCCTTCGGTCTGCTCGCAATTTCAATGACGAGGGAGGCAATGCGCAGGAGCACTTGCTAGCATCGAGCTCCAAAGCTAGCAGTGCTTGATACTGGACAACTGGAGAATGGCATAGTGCAGCTCGGCTGTCTGCTTGTTCGTCAGCTGCTGGACTGATCCATATGTCTATATCGATGCATCAGTATGTACATGTGGTAAACCTGCAGTCCTCCAGAACCCCTTACATGTCTGGCTTCTCGAGGTGGGGAAGAACCAAGACGGCTCCCCTCGCCATCGATTCCTGCCCTGGCAAAGCTGAAAGCAACTCTGCGAAACAGCGGGTGCTCGAAACAAGCACCTCCTGCCGCGCGCGAAGCACAGACCACCCCAAGGAAAAGGGGCGCGGGCTCGCAATCACGAAGCCCCCGGAAACAACGGGACGGTCGGGGGGCCAAGCCAGCGAAGAGAGATGAGCCAACGTCCCCAGAAAGCTGGAGCAGCTGGATATTCTGCCAAACTTCGCGTCGCAAACGCCCTGCGCCGGTGACACTTGGGCTGGCATTCCCCTCGTTGCACGAGCACCCCCAGACTCTGCGCCGCGGGATGTCTCCTCGACGAAGGCAGCGCTCAAAGAGAGGAGCGGGTGCTAGGCCGCAAACATACTTGCGCCCCTCTGGCGGCACCCCCTGCAGCTGTCGCACGAGGCATGCAAGCTTGCAGGTGCTTGTCATCCCCCAGGAGCTCCCGGGTGAGCTCCCCGACATGATGCCAGGCAGCTCCTCGCTCAGCTCCTGCTCCCAGGCCAAGCCGGGAGGCGACTAGCCCCTAGCTGGATTCGACGGCATCATTTTCATGGCCCAGTAGCGGCGTCGCTGGGCGAGAGCTATCTCCGCTGAAACCGAAGGGGCCCTGGGACACACAAATAAATACACACAAATAACCGGATTCCCCATACTTTCCCATATCTTCTGGGTTTTTGTCTTCCCCCCCACTTCCCATATTTTCCCATCTTTTCTGGGGAATCGACGACCGGATAAACCAGGAGCCGCCCGCCGGGTTGGTAAACTCGCGGGGGCCAGGGCAACTCCAGCCGAGGCGCGAAAGAGCGGCCTCTGAGGGTCGACGCCGGGCCTCCCGCCATCTCCAGCCCCTGCTCCTCCTTCCCCTCCTCCTCCTCCTCCTCCTCCTCCTCCTCCTCCTCCTCCTCCTCCTCCTCCTCCTCCTCCTCCTCCTCCTCCTCCCCCTCCTCCTCCTCCTCCTCCTCCTCCCCCTCCTCCTCCTGGGAGACGAGGACCGGGCGCTTCGAGCGCCGATGCAGCCAGGCGGCGACGAGGCGACGAACGCGGGCCCGCACTGGGCCCCGGCCCGCCCTGAGCGGCCAACGAACCACGGCGGTGGCACGAGGGCCTGGGCCACTGGCCAAGCAGCCGGGACGCGCGCTGCGCCGGAGTTGGGCCAGGCTGCTCGCGCGGAGGCCGTGAACCTCCGAGGCCAGCAGTGAGTTAGGATCGGCACGAGTGGAGAAGAGCTTGGGCGCGCGCATATCGACGCTTGTGAAACGATTGATTCGCCCTGCTGCCTTGGCCCCCCCCGCAGGAACGGCTTCACCCCACCTCGGTCGTTTCCTGAGAGAGGCGCCGTCGCGTCCCAAATCCCGCGCGTACAGGACTGCCCACGCATCTGCCGGCGCCATGACAGCCGCTGCCTGGGCG